CAGATACAAAGGCCAGGCCCACATCGCCCAATTGACCGCCTTATAGCAGCATGTCCGGAGGTAACGGTTAGCTTAGGGGGAGTAACTGCTAAGCTGCTCCTAGACACTGGCTCAATGGTTACCACCTTGCCAGAGAGTTTCTTTAGGCAGAACTCTAAAGGCACCCCTAAATCCTGTAACTGGCTGGAGCTGACTGCAGCTAATGGCTTTGACATCCCTTATGTAGGCTTTATTGAGATGGACGTGACTGTATTTGGCCAGGTTGTACCGAACCGGGGTATTCTGGTTGTTAAGGACCCCCAGGGACAGGTGAGGTAAGAGGAATGTTGGGAATGAACATAATAAAAAAATGTTATCAAGTGTTGTTCAGTGGGCATGGCCCTAACCTCTTTGACCTCCCTGAAGTACAGCAGGCATCTGTAGCGTTGCAGCAGGCCTTGTATCATTGCCACTACACTGACACCACAGATTTGCCACCTACGAGCAGTGTGGCTTGAGTGCGAGGTAGGCGTCCTGTCAGAAGGCGGTCTTAGCTTTGTCTGCCTCAGTTACTGCCACTTGATGATACCCGCTAGCTAAATCTATGGTGGAAAACCACTTTGCACCCGAGAGAGCATCTAAGGACTCTTCAATTCTGGGAAGTGGGAAAGCATCTTTCCTAGTTTTGTTGTTCAAGACTAGGAAGGCATTGCAGAGAGCAGGGGTCTCTGCAATGCATCTTGACCGCTTGAGGCTGGTTCTCAGTCGCCTCCAAAAAGAGTCACTCAAGGTGAAACATTTAATTTCGTTTTTGTTGTTTCTTTATTTAATTTACTTATTTGCTATTTACTGTGTTTGTTTGGTGCTTAGTTCATTTTAATATTTTGAACCCTGTGATTGGGTACTTGTGCTCATTGTGTCTTTTTCTGCTCAGGGTCTGGTCCTGTCGTGGCTTCTCATGGTGGGGGATTTGGTGATAGTTACCAACTGCTGCACCATCACTCCTTTTGAATGTAGGGCTGAAACAACTAATCGATTAATCGACGACTAATCGATTATTGAAATAGTCGACAACTATTTTAGTAATCGATTAATCGTTTTCTGATTCACACGGACTCAAACAGAGCAAAAATGACATGAAAATGTAGTATTTTTGATTAAAACCGACTTTGTTTTTATAATTTCATGAATATCTGTCTGTCTCATCCAATCAGATAGCAGAATTAGCACAAAGAGCCTGTTACAAACATTTACTTTAAGTTTACGCCATCAATACGTCCTCAAGTGTTGCCACTTTAGCTTTTTGTGATGAAAAAATATTTTTTTTCTACACAATTCACAGCCAAGCGATTACTCGATTAATCGTAAAAAATAATTGATAGATTAATTGATTACAAAATAATTGTTAGTTGCAGCTCTATTTGAATGCCGTGGTATTTTGCACCTCCCTTCACCACTTGTACATTTTCAGTTTGCCTCTTTTCTTGATTTGGTGTGTGTATGAATGTGTGGCACGGAGCGTAGTGAGTGCTCTATTCCAGCCCCTTAGTCCTCCATCGTGTACGGCCGCTACTGGCCAGCCCTGAGTGTTGCTTTCTTTCTTTCTGGTTAGCATTGGAGCACATATTTTATAATTGATATTTTGTAATGATTACATTTAATACAATGAAATAAAAACATATATTTTCCTATTTCTTAGGTCTCATTTTCCAAATAAATTGCTCAAAATTGTATAATTTGTGTCTGGTCAATTACTTGTTGCATCCCACCATTATACCAGGGCCCTGCGGTCACAATTGGCGTTGTCTGGCAGTGTGGCTGGGATGCAATAGTGATTGTACTGACTTGGGCGTTTATTCTGTATGTTTTGTTTTGGGTTTTTTTGTGCTTGTCCAATTAGACCCAAATAGAACTGCATTGGTCATCGACGGCAACGGTACCGTTCTCCTGTACTTTCCTCACCCCACAACAATCATGGCCACTGAACAAGAGCTCAGAGACTTGGTCCAGCAGCTCCAGTCTGAAAATGAACGGCTGCTAGCCGCTTCCAATATGAACTCTGGAGCAGCTGCCCCGAGTTGCTCCAATGACTGTCCAGCCCCCCTATCTAATGGCCATTCCAGCAATGGGGAGTCTATGGAACGCCTGCTGTATATTCCCAGAGAATGCAAGTGCCCGCTCTTCAGGGGGACTTCTGGGATACCCATAGAGGACTGGATAGAAGAAATGAGGGCCACACTGAGGACTAGACGACTGACCACTGTAGATCAAGTATATTTTGTATTTGACCATTTGGAGGGTGAGGCTAAAGATGAGATCAGGTACACAACAAGAACAGAGAGGGAAGATCCAGAAAGAATTATGTCTATTCTGCGGGAGTTGTATGGCTGTGTACGTTCCTATGTGTCTTTGCAAGAATGTTTTTTTTCCAGAAAGCAACAGGAAGGAGAGTCACTGCATGAGTTTTCGCATGCCTTATGTTGTCTTATGGAGAAAGTCGAGCGTTGTGCTCCCAGGAAAATGGCAGACTCCCACATCCTCTTACGCGACCAGTTTGTTGAGCACGTCCTAGATCCTAACCTGCGCAGGGAACTAAAAAGGTTAGTGAGGGAGAAGCCTGAGTGCACGCTGTTAGAGGTTAGAGCTGAGGCCATAAGGTGGGAACGGGAGGGTAGACCAGATGAGCCACGGGGTAGGAGCCCCCCGACCTCCAGTCAGGCGACCTAACACCCTACTGTGCCTCCGCTGTCAAAAACCCGGCCATTTTGCTCGGGAGTGTGATAATGAGCGGTTCATTCCACAGGCTCGGCCTCAGCATGTGGCCGCTACCTCTGCTCTTCAGGAGGCGGGAAACTTCAACCCTCTGGTGTAAGGAGCCAAACATCAGAAGGGAAAGGTACCGGCTCACAGATACAAAGGCCAGGCCCACATCGCCCAATTGACCGCCTTATAGCAGCATGTCCGGAGGTAACGGTTAGCTTAGGGGGAGTAACTGCTAAGCTGCTCCTAGACACTGGCTCAATGGTTACCACCTTGCCAGAGAGTTTCTTTAGGCAGAACTCTAAAGGCACCCCTAAATCCTGTAACTGGCTGGAGCTGACTGCAGCTAATGGCTTTGACATCCCTTATGTAGGCTTTATTGAGATGGACGTGACTGTATTTGGCCAGGTTGTACCGAACCGGGGTATTCTGGTTGTTAAGGACCCCCAGGGACAGGTGAGGTAAGAGGAATGTTGGGAATGAACATAATAAAAAAATGTTATCAAGTGTTGTTCAGTGGGCATGGCCCTAACCTCTTTGACCTCCCTGAAGTACAGCAGGCATCTGTAGCGTTGCAGCAGGCCTTGTATCATTGCCACTACACTGACACCACAGATTTGCCACCTACGAGCAGTGTGGCTTGAGTGCGAGGTAGGCGTCCTGTCAGAAGGCGGTCTTAGCTTTGTCTGCCTCAGTTACTGCCACTTGATGATACCCGCTAGCTAAATCTATGGTGGAAAACCACTTTGCACCCGAGAGAGCATCTAAGGACTCTTCAATTCTGGGAAGTGGGAAAGCATCTTTCCTAGTTTTGTTGTTCAAGACTAGGAAGGCATTGCAGAGAGCAGGGGTCTCTGCAATGCATCTTGACCGCTTGAGGCTGGTTCTCAGTCGCCTCCAAAAAGAGTCACTCAAGGTGAAACATTTAATTTCGTTTTTGTTGTTTCTTTATTTAATTTACTTATTTGCTATTTACTGTGTTTGTTTGGTGCTTAGTTCATTTTAATATTTTGAACCCTGTGATTGGGTACTTGTGCTCATTGTGTCTTTTTCTGCTCAGGGTCTGGTCCTGTCGTGGCTTCTCATGGTGGGGGATTTGGTGATAGTTACCAACTGCTGCACCATCACTCCTTTTGAATGTAGGGCTGAAACAACTAATCGATTAATCGACGACTAATCGATTATTGAAATAGTCGACAACTATTTTAGTAATCGATTAATCGTTTTCTGATTCACACGGACTCAAACAGAGCAAAAATGACATGAAAATGTAGTATTTTTGATTAAAACCGACTTTGTTTTTATAATTTCATGAATATCTGTCTGTCTCATCCAATCAGATAGCAGAATTAGCACAAAGAGCCTGTTACAAACATTTACTTTAAGTTTACGCCATCAATACGTCCTCAAGTGTTGCCACTTTAGCTTTTTGTGATGAAAAAATATTTTTTTTCTACACAATTCACAGCCAAGCGATTACTCGATTAATCGTAAAAAATAATTGATAGATTAATTGATTACAAAATAATTGTTAGTTGCAGCTCTATTTGAATGCCGTGGTATTTTGCACCTCCCTTCACCACTTGTACATTTTCAGTTTGCCTCTTTTCTTGATTTGGTGTGTGTATGAATGTGTGGCACGGAGCGTAGTGAGTGCTCTATTCCAGCCCCTTAGTCCTCCATCGTGTACGGCCGCTACTGGCCAGCCCTGAGTGTTGCTTTCTTTCTTTCTGGTTAGCATTGGAGCACATATTTTATAATTGATATTTTGTAATGATTACATTTAATACAATGAAATAAAAACATATATTTTCCTATTTCTTAGGTCTCATTTTCCAAATAAATTGCTCAAAATTGTATAATTTGTGTCTGGTCAATTACTTGTTGCATCCCACCATTATACCAGGGCCCTGCGGTCACATATACTTAAATTTTGAAAATGAAATCTGCCTCTTTGGGGCATTCTCTTTGTTTTGAACACTTTTTACCATCAAACTGTATCTCAATTTTGGCAAAGTTCTATGATTAAAAAAAACACGGGGTTAAACAATAATAATAATTTGTCATTCGTGTCCTACATCTTAGAAAATCCCAAAAATAAAAAATACATTGCTTTCTTCCAGGAGTGAACATTAAAGGGTTAAGGATGACACAACCAGCCACAATATTAATACAACTAATGATAACTCTTCACTGTTGGATTACTGTGGATAGTTCAGAAACAGTTAAGTCACATATTCATCATCACAGAGTTCACTCACCAGCCCAGTGTGTCCGCTTGTGTGTCTGCTTGTGTGTCCTCTGCAGTGTGACTATGTGAGGTGTGTATGTTTTAGGCAGCAGCACTGAGTAGACCGCCCCCGTAGCCCAGAGGGGCGAGGTCTAAACTGCCGTGGGCTGGACAACCTACAGCTATGCTCTGGTCAAATTTACCCACCACAGTGATTCATTCACTTGTCATTTATACCCTTATTGACTCAAATTTGGATAGTTTTCTTTTACTTTTGATAATCTGTAATTTTGACCCAAGGGTAGCACAAGGGATAAAAAACTTTATTGATATATTTTTGTGTATATGTTATTCCTATGTACAGTGGGGCAAAAAAGTGTTTATATACTATATATACTGTCTACATGAGTGTGGTGGATTCTTCTGCCACCGCTTGACACTGTTCGTTTTTTCTGTTACTTCACTTTAGACTTAGACTTTATTGATCCACAAGGGAAATTGCGTTGTCAGAGTAGCTTGCATCAAAATCAGAATCAGAATCATTTTTATTGCCGTGTAACAATACATCTATTTAACCGATGTATCGATCCAGCTACATTGATCGGTGCTCAGCTATTTGGCCTCGATCCTAGCCGCACATCGACACTACATCGTTTTAAATGGAAAAATTGTGATTGTATCGATATAGTTCTCACATGAAATCATAGTCACAACGTGCAATGGAATTCAATTGAAAATATTTTAGTTAATTTTAAACACTTTTAAACGGGTGGTGCTGTAAAACATTGGTTAAGCACTGCATTGTTATACATCTGTTTTATTATTTTTTATTCATGTGAGATATTTATAAGTTAGCTCTTGGGCAAAATAAATGCTTGTGTTAAATTTGTAAAAAAGTTGTATTTCTTGTTCAGCACTTTAAATCTGAGTTAGATATCTAAGTTTGATTTACTGTGAAAAGTTTATTTACAGAAAAAGCCAATATTAATGTATCGATGTATTGTTCAAAATCTACTGTATCGTATCGAATTGTATCGTTTTAAAAATTATCCTTTTTTATCAAAATCTTTTGCTCTCATATCGATACAGATCGTATCGTTCTAAAAACGTATCGTTACACCCCTACCACGTACTGTAAGTAACATGAAGTCACATACTTGAAAATTGCTTTGGCTCGGTGCATCAGTCAGAAAGAGAGGTAAGGGTAAACAGCAGAGGGGAAGAAACTTTTCTTGTGGCGGGAGGTTCTAGTCCTGATGGACCGTAGCCTCCTGCCTGAGGGGAGTGGTTGGAATAGTCCATGTGCAGGGTGAGAGGGGTCGGCTGTGATACGACCAGCCAGAGCTTGGGCGACGTACAGGTCCTGTAGCGATGGGAGGCTGCGGCCAATCACCTTCTCTGCAGAGCGCGCAGCTGTAGCCTCTGCTTGGCCCTGACTGTGCCTCCAGCGAACCACACGGTGATGGAGGAGGTGAGGATGGACTCGATGATGGCCGTGTAGAACTGCACCAACATCTGTGCAGGCAGCTTGGCTTTCATGAGCTGCCACAGGAAGTACATCCTCTGCTGGGCCTTCTTGATGAGGGAGCTGATGGTCGGCTCCCACTTGAGGTCCTGGGTGATGGTGGTGCCCAGGAAACGAAAGGACTCCACAGAGGTGATGGGGGAGTCCATAAGGGAGGGGGAGATAGAGGTGATGGGGGAGTCCATCAGGGAGGGGGGACAGAGGTGTTGGGGGAGTCCATCAGGGAGGGTCGGAGGGGGGACTTACTGAAGTCCACAATCATCCCTAGGTTGTTACCACTGCACCAGGACACCAGCCGGTCCACCTCCTCCTGTAGGACACACCAGCTGGTCCACCTCCCTCCTGTAGGCGGACTCATCGTTGTTGGCGATGAGTCCAATGAGGGGGGTGTTGTCCGCAAACTTGATCAGCTTCACGGAGTCGTGGCTGGAGGTGCAGTGGTTGGTGTACAGGGAGAAGAGCAGGGGAGAAAGAACACAGCCCTGTGGGGCTCCTGTATTTATAATTTGAGAGTCCGAGATATTCTTCCCCAGACGCACTCGCTGCTTCCTGTCCGTGAGGAAGTCAGTGATCCACCTGCAGGTGGAATCGGGCACGTTGAGCTGGGAGAGCTTGTCCTGGAGCAGGGATGGCAGGATTGAGTTGAAGGCAGAGCTGTAGTCCACGAACAGGACCCTGGCGTTGGTCCCCGGGGAATCCAGGTGCTGTAGGATGTGGTGGAGGGCCAGGTTGATGGCGTCGGGGTACAGGAGGCTGGGGGAGGTGTCCGGGGCGGCAGCGGCGGCGGCGGCAGAAGAAGAAGAAGAAGGAGAAAGAAGAAGAAGCGATGTTGTTAGCTAAGCCGTAGCACCAACTGGAAACCACTCCCCCCTCCCCTCGCCTCTCCACCAAACCAAACATCCAGCATTTTCTTTTCTTTGTCACAACAGGGAGAGTGGGAGGCAAATGTGAAATTGGCATTTTCTGTTTAGCCATTTTAGGTTCTAGAAAATCCGAAAACTCTGGTGCACTCACGAGAAACAGGAAGAGGGTGAAGGGGGTAGATGCATCCCATTGGTTCGTTGGGGATGAACGAATCCCATTGGTTTATTTTTATCGGCCCGCTCTAAATTATGTGTTATTCGTTTTTGTAAACTACAGGCCATCTGGTCAATTCAAATCAAAAATCACTGACTGCATCTTTAACTTTGAGATGATTTTACACCTGTGTCTTGCCTTTTCTTTTGTCCATTACATTGGACAAAAGAAAAGAAAACTTTCTGACTGGAAAGTTTAATACCTTCCACACACAGAAGCGTATCAGTGTTTGGGCACAGAATCCTTTGTCGGGGACAGGAGGAGACCCGACTGGGGCTTGGGCCGTAAAATAAAGGATTTATTTTAAATTTTCTTTTTTAGCAAAACCAATATGGTAAAGCCAGTGTCAGTGCGTTTTTCCTTTCAAAATTGTGTGTGTGTGTGCGCTTCCCTTATCCTCATCCACATCCGGGACAGGCGTGACTTTTATGACCTGTTCTTTGCTTTTGTCCTGTGTGTGTGTGTGTGTGTGTGTGTGTGTGTGTGTGTGTGTGTGCGTGTGTGCCTGTGTGCGTGTGTGTAGAGACTCTGAGTGATCCATCATATGTTTAGAGTTTCTGTACGTCACATGTTTGACCTGTACTTGGGCAAGTTTCAGCCCAAGTACATTTGCAGTTTCAGCTGCAAATGTACTTGCAGTTTCAGCTTCAGAAATTTGCAGTTTCAGCTTCAGAAATGACATTGCAGTTTCAGCTTCAGAAATGACACTGCAGTAGATTCATGTTCATTATTCACCACTTCACTGAAAAGCCTCTGACTCCTGTCTTTGTCCTATGTTGACATAAAACTCCAGCTTTTAACATTAAAATGTTCTTTTTGTTATGACAAAATCTTGTGAACAGTTTTGGAGTCTACAATTTTGTAGTGGTGCGGTCATATATACTTTTGTACAGTAACTCAGTTATGTAATATTACTATTTACAATCAGAGTACAATACAATACAATACAATACAATTTATTCTTGTATAGCCCTAAGTCACAACTGAAGTCATCTCAGAGGACTTCACAAAACCATTGAAATCACCAACACAGGTCAGAGAATCAACAGTTAAAACACATGAAAAATATAAAGCACACACAGAAGAAAATGTCCATACATGTTGTAGAATGTTAAAGTGTCCTGTTCTTAACTTCCACAGCTATGCAGATGATACACAGCTGTACATCTCCATGTCTCCTGACGACACCAGGCCAATGGATGCTCTTTTTAACTGCATTTTAGACCTTTCTCCAGCTCAACCAGGACAAAACTGAGGTTTTAGTCATCGGTCCTGAGGCCCAGAGAGAGAAACTTTCAAAACTCCAATCACACTCTTTTAATCCATCATCACAAGTGAGAAACCTGGGCGTAATCTTTGACTCTGAGCTGACTTTTATTCCTCACATCAATAACATCACAAAAATAGGTTTTTATCATCTAAAGAACATCGCCAGAGTCCGCCCCATTCTCTCTCGGGCCAACACGGAGACGCTGATGCATGCTTTTATCACCAGTCGCATTGACTATTGTAATGCCCTGCTCTCTGGTCTTCCCAAAAAGAACATTTCAGGTTTACAATTACTCCAAAACTGTACCGCACGTGTCCTGACTAAGACCAGGGGGCGTGTCCTGACTAAGACCAGGGGGCGGGACCACATTACACCGGTTTTAAAATCGCTGCATTGGCTCCCCGTGTGTTTCAGGATCGATTTTAAGGTTCTTTTAATGGTTTTTAAATGTCTTAATGGTCTTGGGCCTTCTTATCTTTCAGATTTGCTTTTATCCTATGAACCTTCCCGGCCCCTGCGCTCCTCCGGCAGGAGACTTCTAACCATCCCCAAAGTCAGGACACACACTCACGGCGAGGCATCTTTCCAGCACTACGGCCCCCGTCTCTGGAACAGTCTGCCGGAGGAGCTCAGGGCCGCAGGCTCAAGACACACCTTTTTAGATTAGCTTTTGATTAGTTTTTACTATTTCATTTTATATATTCTATTTATCTTCTATTATTTACTGTATTGCTATTGCTTTTATTCATGTATTGTGTGTTAGTTCATTTTAGTTTCACATTTTTGTGTTTTACATATTGTATTGTTTTTAGTGTCCCCAGTGTTTCCTCTGGAGGAGCCCTCTGCACTGGGAGCGGTGGTCGGCATGGCTGTGGGGGTCGGACTCTTGGACCTGGTGGGGGCCTGGGGCCTCGGTTTCGGGTCTCCTCTAGATCCTGTGTCGTCCACAGGCGGCTCTCTGCTCCTGGTGCAGACGGCTCCTTGGATGACGCTTTTTCAACTGGTTGCATCCGAACCCTGCCAAGTCTCTCATCATTGTTTTACTGTTTTACTCGTGTGTGTGTGTGTGTGTGTGTGTGTGTGTGTGGGTGACATGGGCCGGCGGGATTGTTTTTAACCAAACTGTAAAGCACTTTGTGTTGCATCTTTTGTATGAAAAGCGCTTCATAAATAAAATTTGATTTGATTTGATCATCACCAATCCTTTCTGCTGGACACTAACTGTCCAACAAGACCCTCCCGCATTGACAAGGAAAAACTCTTAAAAAACCCAGTGGGAAAAAGTGAGAAACCTTGGGGAGACCCATTTGAGAAAGTAACTCAAGTTACAACCATAAATTAAAGCCGCAAGTGGCATCTAACGGCCCTCGCCGCACCGCGCAAAGGAGGTGGCGCTGACGCGCCATTTTCCCACTGCCCTGATGGGAGCGACACTGTGGATTTTGAATGCCTATGATCAGTGATTGTGTGTGTCTTTGAAAAGGTAAACCTCATTCTCCCCAAGTAATACTTGACTCAGTCTGTAGGGGGCGCTATTGCTGCAATTTCGTCTTTTACACTTTCAGTTTACCCAAACCCAAGAGTTGAACAATCATTTCAAATTTTGTGCAAATCGGACTTTTTTTGTATTTTTTGTATGTGCAAATGGTGTTATTTAATGTTGTACAATAGCGCCCCCTACAATTTCAATTTATTACTGTTATACCAAAGAACACCAAAATAATACACTTTATGCCTGAAAAAAACTTGTGGCAAAGTTTGGTGAGTTTTCGTGTTTGTTCAGTGGGTGAAATATGAGATCAAACAACAGAAAACCTAAATACCTTTATCCCCATGTAAACCTTTACTCAGCCTGTAGGGGGCGCTAATGGGACAATGTCATTGTTCACACTGTCATGTGACCTAGGCCCAGGAGTTAAACAACAGAGTCAAGTTTAGTGAATATCAGAGTTTGTAAATGTGCTCCTGTTTGCACATACAATCTGTGAGTGTGTCCATAGAGTCTCCATTGGATAACATGGGAACTTCACACCTCTCTATGAAAACAACCACACTTTGGGGGTCTGTCATGTGCAGACCGTTTGCCTAATTTAAATTCTATATTCAACTATTGATGGTCCATGTGTTGAGACGATGTGGAATGATTTTCAGACAAATTAGTGAAACGGCCACGGCTGGTTTGATTTTTGAGCGAGGTGTACATTTCAGAGATTACAACAACAAGATTACAAGATTAAATGTTCTGCTGGCAATGAGGATTTGCAGACAATATCAAAGTTAAAAATAACAGTATCACAGAGAGCACCAAACCATAGACTATCTAAGCCACAAGGACACAGACGGTTACTGAGCTAGAAGAGTTTACTTTTCGTTGTAGTTCAACAGGAGCCAGAGCGAGTTGGAGCAAAAATTTGTGCATGAACATTTCCCTATTGTTTTTTTTTGAGCGAGCGGCTTAACATTGTTTATGTGTATACAGTCTATGATAGAAACAGACTGTATAAATAACAGTGAGGCAAACATCAGCATCAGAAAGGATCAGAAAGGTTTTGTTTGAGTCCCAGACAAAACAATGTTAAATATGTTATATCGAGTGTAGCCCGTGGAGAAAAGGGGGAGAAATCTCCTCGTTCAAGCCCGGAAATGTGGTTGCATTTAATGAGTCCTTCCAGAATGTTTCTCTTTACCTCTGGAATAGGCTTTTTACTTTGTCTCCTCCTCTGAAGTTTGGCTGGATGACTTGGCTGGGCCTTTGTTAGTCATCAGCGTTTGTGTCTACAGCAGTTAAGTGTTTGCCTATTGGGTAGTCCATGTTCTTTGTCCAAATAGCACACAGTATTTTCTGCAAACCAATGTCTTAGTGCGTTTTTTGGTAGAAAGTTAGGTACCCCAGCTTTAAAACAGAATGTACAAGGAAGTAACATGGGAATTGTTGTAGAATTCCCATGTTTTTGACAATAGAATGAATACCAATTATCAGCCACTTCCGTCATTCACAAAGTATAGTATATTAGTCCTCCCAGACCTGTACTTATATGTTTCTTTCCACCACTGCATACTCTGTGTATTGAATAAGCACCAAGCATGCTGGGAGAATTCAATTCAATACAAAAACAAATGGACTGCCACTCTTTGTTCAAAGCTGAAAAACCTCTCAACCCAGGACTTCTTCACACTATACTGAAAATGGGTTTTTTACTGGATATGCTAAATCCAAGACTATTCTTAGCCAGCCGGATCGATGCGGCAGTGAGAAAAATCTATTACTCGGAATTAGGCCTTCGATCTTCATGAAAATCTCACAAACCACCTTTGCTTTGACTGATGTGGCGCAGCTGTGTCGAAGCCCTCACGTTGCCAGAGTAAAGCGGGGGGTTGCACACAATAACGTCAAGTTCAAACCTGGTCCCCGGTTGACTTGTATCTCATGTTAAGCCCTGGTAAACCATCGGCAGAGAAAAGAACCCATCCCTCTTGCGGGAATACTTCCAGAATCCCCTGGTAGCATCTGGAGCTATCCCCGTATCCTGTCCTCTCGCCTCTACTACAGATGTGGGGAATTAAGAGATAAACAAAAAGAGAAATAATCCAATTAGCTTTAATAGGCATGCAGAAGGTGGAAGAAAGAGAAATGTCACCCCATCCCAATAATGTGCGCGCTAATTACTGTGGCTGTGTTTGAAACAAGACGCTTCCAAGGTGAGTTTCCCAAACCAGAGCGTACAAAATATGATGGAGAGAGCTGGCTTCTTCTAATTTGAGACTTCTACTTTTGAACTCAGCGTTTGCTTTTTCAAAAACCTTTTGTTGTTTGTGTTTAAAGAGTGGAGAAGTTGAGACGTTTTAGTGCAATACATGTGTTGTTTCAATACAAAATGTCTAGAACATAATCCTGCAATCTGTCATCTCTGGCCAAGAATCACACAAAATGTAATCGGCAGGTAAAGCAGCATGTGACTGAATTCCTTTCCTTATTTATGTATTTATTTATTTAGTTGGATGGGACAGTGTGTATTAATGAAAAGTAAATACACCAGATACTAACATACAGATCCACATTCAAGGGAAATAATGATAATGCATAAGTTTTATATGGTATATTTTTTGGGACACTCAAAAACGCTTCATGGCATCATTCTTTCAGTCCATGCCCGATGGTGATAAAGTGCCCTGGGGCAGACTGATAGAAGTGAGGCGACCGGTACCACCTGCACCTCCGACCACCACCAAATGTCTTGCCTAAGGACAGAACAACACTTTGGCACTTTACAGCTAAACTACTGTGGCACCTGGTGTTCCCAGAGAATGGTGGAACAAAAAAAAGACCTGAAAGAATGAAGTGTTGAAATATTCCTGTGTTTGTGGGCTCTGAGGTCCGGTAAAAACTCTTGCACTTCGTTTATATGTTTATTTATCAGGGATTGCTTCTTGAGATAAAACACATTTCAAGAGAGTCCTCATCAGCTGTTTGATTTACCAAAAAATATAGAAATTATATACACGGCCACAGAAACAGACACAACAATATGCACATACAGTACATAAAAATAAAAATTATTAAAATCTGCATATCTCAAACCTTTGTCCCTATCCGCTCCTATAGTACTTTGGATACCAGTTACCTTAATAATAATAATAATACTCTTTATTTATAGTGCACTTTACATTCCCAGGAAACCTCAAAGAGCTACAATTTTATTCATATATTTATTAATTTTTTAGCATTATTTTACTTCTCTGGAATAACTTACTTCTTGTTCTGCGGTTAGTGTTGCACAGTATGGTTTTTATGTTGCTATGTTTATTTTTGTGCTGAAAAATGTATTGGAAAAGACTTACCTCTCCACTGATCTGACTTCTCATTGAGAGCCACTAATCACCAAACCCACAAACACCAGAATATTCCAACGCTGGTTATTCTTTCGGCTCCATCTTCTGTTCTGGCTTGAGTTATTATTCATCAAATCCTGGGCGACACAGAGACAGGACTGTTTGATGTTCTGTCAGTATGTTCTGACCCCCTGCTTCAAGAGAATGAAAGCCCAAAGCGGCCGTACGAACGGCCCCGCCGCACCGCTCAAACTCCCTGCACCGCGCGAACTCCCCGCACCACGCCGCCCGCACCAAGCCGCCCTGCCCAAGCCGTCCCGACCACGCCACCCCGCACCAACCGCTCACATCACCCCGCACTACGTCGCACCACAACCGTACCACGCAGCACCGCTAAAAGGAGATGGCACCCGCCGTGTGATGAATTGTTTTCCGTAGCCATAGAAGAAATTAGTCAAATTGTAATAATATGATAAGTAAGGCAGGTTTGGCCTCCCATTAAACTTGCATCAGTCTGTAGGGGGCGCTAATGGGGCCAATTTCAAAATAATTCACTTTCACCGACCTACAACCCTGAATTGAACAATGGATTTACAGTTTTTGTGCAAATCAACTTTGTTTGTGCAAACAGGTGCAAAAATAAAGTTGTCACAAATAGCCCAAAAAAACCCTCACGATTTGCTGCTCCGCTGCTCCAAACAACGGTTCCCGGATCAAAATTCCCTGAAGTAATTTTGAAGGTACAAGTGTTTAGATGATGGGGATCGATTTTGAGGCAATCGGTGAAACGGCCGAGGCAGGGTTTGATTTTGTGTGAGGTGTACATTTGCAATGAAAGGGGAGCTTTTGTCGTCGCCATGGCACCAGGTAAAATATTAGCCTGGACCCTATTGACTTTTTAATCAGAGGGCAAAACAGATTTATTTGCACAAAAGTCAAACATTTTGAAAAAACGAAATTATGTAAAATGCCCATCAAAAATTTGAAATGGACTGTAGGTGGGCGCTAATGAGTCAATTGAACAATTTCACTTTCAAAGACTTAGACCCACGAGTTGAACATGTAATAAAAGTTTTGTGCAAAATCAGACTTGTTTGTGCAAACGGAGCAAATTTAATGTTGTCAAAAACGGCCAAAAAAAGGGTCACATTTTGCCGCTCCGCGCACGCCACAATGTTTTCACTGATCACAAATCCCTGAAGTCATTTTGAAGGTACATCTTGAGATATGTGGATCGATTTGAGGTGAAAACGGTGAAACGGCCGAGGAGGAGTCGCTTCCAACACATGTAAATGAAAACCTTTTGCTGTTCATTTATTCCATTTTGCAGTGAAATTTAAGGCTTTCCAGTTCTGTCAGTGTGCGGGGCCATAATAAACATTTTTTTTCTGTCTTTACTTGAGTAACATGGTGAACCGAATTTCATGGCTCTACGACAAACTTGATCTCTAAAAGTCCCATAGGGTATAATTATGGCTGTTGTAGAGGCGCTGTTGCCGCATTATTTGAGTCCCATTAAAATAAACACCAAAATAAAAATTTTCGCCAGGTCTGATTTTGGCAAAATTTAACAACTATATCATGCATGTTCATGGGGTCAAAATTAAGGCTCAAAGTGCAGAAGAAAAAAGAAAGAAAGAAAGAAAGAAAGAAAGAAATAATTAAAGCCGCAATGGCGGCGTCGAACGGCCCCTCGCCGCAACCGCGCAACTCCCCGCACCACGCACACACCCCCCGCGACGCGCGCACCACCCCGTGACAAGCCACCCCGCACCACGCCGTCCCGCATCCACTCCGTCCCGCATCACGCAGCCCCGCACCAAGGCCGCCCCGCACCCAAGCCGCCCCGCACCAAGAGCGCCCCCGTAACCCCAAGAACTCAAAACGCGCCCGCTCCCAAAAAACGCCCGCCCCGCCACTTTTGCTCACCACACCCGTACCACGCAGCACCGCTCAAAAAGGAGGTGGCGCCGACCCCCCTCCCCCCCCCCCACCCCCCCCCCACCCCCCCACCCCCCCACCCGTGTGAAGTTTGTTCCCGATAGCCAAAGAAGATAGTTGGTCAAATTGTGAAAGAATATGATAATAGAGCTGGATTGGCTCCCCATGTAAACTTTGAACGTCTTTAGGGGCGCTAACGGGCCAATTTCAAATATTTCAACTTTCACCCTGACCTACAACCCTGGAGTTGAACAATGGAATCAAGTTTAATGCAAATCATACTTTGTTTTTGCAAAACGGGAAAAAAAAATAATAGTTGTCCAAAAAAACGGCCAAAAAAACCCCCTCACATTTTTGCTGCTACCGCTGCTCAAAACAATGTTTCACGGGGGGGGGGGGGGGGGAGGGGGGGGCTGATTCAAAAACCCTGAGGTCATTGAAGATAAAGTAGTTGAGATAATTTGGAGCAATTTCGAGCCATTTTGAGGCCAATCGGTGAAACGGCCGAGAGGAGTCGCTTTCCCAACCGACATGTATGGAAGTGATTGGATCATTTTTCCCATTTTTGCTAAAGAAATTTATGAGCTTCCTGATTGTCAGAGGGCTAAGCCATATAAATGTTTCCATGTCTGACTAGAGAACATGTCTTTCAACTACATGGTTCTATAACAATTTTACCGAGGGTGGGGGGGGGGGGGGGGGGGGGGGGGGGGGGGGGGGGGGGGGGGGGGGGGGGAGGGGGGGGGGGGGGGGGGGGGGGGGGGGGGGGGGGGGGGGGGGGGGGGGGGGGGGGGGGGGGGGGGGTGGGGAACCCCAACCCATAGTCATAATATTTAAATTGCTTTAGTAGTGGCGCCTATAGAGCCAATTTTCACAAAATTTTAACTTTCAACTTTCAAATGAACCTAGACCCAAGAGTTGATCCAGGATTCAAGTTTTGTGCAAATAAGATTTTGTTGTGCAAACAAAACGGAAGCAAATTTTTCTTTTGTCCAAAAACTGAAAAAAAAATACAGCACTTATTGCCGCTTCCGCAGCTCAAACAACGTTTCACCTGATCAAAAATCCCTGAAGTCATTTTGAAGTACATATGTTTGATATATGTGGAGCAATTTTGAGTCAGAATCGTTGAAACGGACCTGAGGCTGGATTGATGTTTGTGTGAGGTGTACATTTTGCAAATGAATGGGACGTTTGTCCTTCGCCGCACGGCACAGTAAAAAAATTTTAAAAAAGCCTTGACCCTATTGACATTTCTAGAATCAAGAGGGCAAAACAGAATTTATGTGCCAAATATCAACAATTTGAAAAAACTAAATTTGAAAATGCCCATCTAAAACATTGAAATAGTCCTGTATGGGGCGCTAATGTGTCAAATTTGAATCAATTCACTTTCAAATGACGCAAGACCCCTAGAGTTGAAACAATGTATTAAGTTTGTGCAAATCAGACCTTTGTTTGTGCAAACGGGAGCAAATTTAATGATGTCAAAAACGGCAAAAAAATGTCACATTTTGCCGCTAACCGCTGCTCAAACAACAACGTTTCACGGATCAAAAAATCCCCAAGGACAAATTTGCAAGGTACATGTGTTGAGATGTGTGGAGCAATTTTGAGGCGAATCGGTGAAACGGCCGAGGAGGAGTCGTTATTTCCAACCGACAGGTATCAAACTTTATAGCAGTTCATTTTCCATTTTGCAGTGAACTTTTATGGGCTTCCTGTTTGTCAGAGGGCGGGGCCATAAAATATTTTTTCTCTTGTTTCTTGACTTGAGCAACATGTGTACCAAATTTCATGTTTCTTCTACGACAAACTTGACCTCCGAAAAGTCACAAAGGGGTATTAAATTGGCTGGTTGTAGACGCTGTTCTGTCATTTTTTTATGTCCCATAAAATAAACAACCAAAATATCAAATTTTTTTCACCAGGTCTATTTTTGGGCCCAAAATAACACTTTCATGCATGTTCAGGGTGTCAAATTAAGGCTCAAAGTGCACGAAGAAAAAGAAAAGAAAGAAAGAAATAAATAAATAAATTAAAGCCCGCAAGCGGCCGTCGAACGGCCCTCAGCCGCACCGCGCGACTCCTCTGCACGCGCGCACTCACCCGCACCATGCCAGCCCCCGCACCAAGCCGCCACTGCACCAATGCCGTCCCGCACCAAGCCGCCCCGCACCAAGCCGAGCCCGCCCCGCACCAAGCCGCAATGGACGCCCAAGCCGCAACGCGCCGCTCCACAACTGCCCCGCACAACTGTTTGCACCACACAAAGCCGTCCCACGCAGCACCACTAAAAGAATGTGCACCGCGTGTGGATGATTTGTTCCGTAGCCATAGAAAATGTTAGTCAAATTTTAATGAATGTGATAAGTAGAGCTGGTTTGGCTCCCCATGTAAACTATGACACAGTCTGATAGGGGGGCGCTAAAAGGGCCAATTTCCAATATTTCACTTTAACCTGACGACTAAACCCTGGCATTGAACAATGATTTAAAGTTTTGTGCAATCAGACTTTGTGTGTGGCAAACAGGAGCAAAATTTAATGTTTTCAAAAAGAGCCAAAAAAACCTCACAATTTTGCGCTTCCCGCTGCTCAAACAACTTTCACATGATACCAAATATCCCAGAAGTCCATTTGATGGTACACGTGTGAATGATGTGGAGCGATTTTGAGGCGAATCGGTGAAACGGCCGAGGCTGGTTTGATGTTTGTGTGAGGTGTCATTTGCAAAGAATGGGGAGCGTTTGTCGTTGCCATGGCAACAGGGTAAAAGATAAGCCTTGGACCCTATTGACTTTTTGAATCAAGAGGGCAAAACAGATTTATGTGCAAAATTTCAAACATTTTGAAAAAAACTAAATTTTGAAAATGGCCATCTAAAATTTTGAAATAGTCTGTAGGGGGCGCTAATGTGTCAATTTGAATTAATTCACCTTTTCAAACGACCTAGACCCTAGAGTTGAACAATGTATTAAAGTTTTGTGCAAAAACAACTTTGTTTGTGCAAACGGGAGCAAAATTTAATGTTGTCAAAAACGGCCAAAAAAAGGTCACAGTTTAGCCGCTCCGCTGCACGAACATGTTTCACTGATCAAAAATCCCTGAGGTCATTTTTGAAGGTACATGTGTTGAAGATGATGTGGAGGCAATTTTGAGGCTAATCGGTGAAACGGCCGAGGAGAGAGTCGCTTTCCAACCGACATGTATGAAAACTTTTGCTGTTCACTTTTCCATTTTGCAGTCAAATTTTAATGGGCTTCCTGTTTGTCAGAGGGCGGGGCCATAATAATTGTTTTTTCTTGTCTTGACTGATGAACATGTGTACCAAATCTCAAATTTCTACGACAAACTTGACCTCCGAAAAGTCCCATAGGGGTATTATAATTTGGCTGAAGATAGGTGGCGCTGTTCTGTCATTTTTTGGAGTCCCATAAAAATAAACACCAAAATATCAAATTTTTCGCCAGGTCTGATTTTTGGGCCAAAATTAACAACTTTTCATGCATGTTCAGGGGTCAAATTAAGGCTCAAAGTGCAGAATGCAAAAGAAAGAAATAAATAAATAAGAACTAAATAAATAAATAAAAAAGGAATTTTTGTGACTTGTTTTTCCCCCCACTCGAGCAAAAACAATATAGGTTTCAATGGCATGTGATTTCATCATTTTACAGCTTTTGAGTTTACGCACTGCAACCGTCACGTTTTTGGTGAGTGACGGTCGCTGACGCGTCCGTCACGCACCGCACCATTTGTTTATCACCATCTGTGAAAGCAATAGCCCTTACCCCGTTCGGGGCCTCGGGCCTAATAAAAAAGGGAATTTTTTTGTTAACGTCTCGAGCACAAAACAAAATAGTATTTCAATGGCACCTGAACATCAATTTAAAGCTTTGATTTACGCACGCAATCCGTCCACGTTTAAGGTGAGTGACGGCGCTGACGTCCTCGTCACGCACCGCCACCATTTGTTTTCACCATTGTGAAAGCAATGGCCCTTACCCCGTTCGGGGCACGGGCTCTAATTAAAGCCGCAACGCGTCGAACGCCTCGCCGTCAACGCGCGACACCCCGCACCGCGCGCACCCCCCGCACCGCGCTCACCACGCCGCCCCGCACCAAGCCGCAACGCGCCGCTCCACAACGCCCAGCACTACGCCGCACCACACCGTACCACGCAGCACCGCGAAAAGGAGTGGCACCGCCGTTTGATGATTTGTGTCCCAGTAGCCATAGAAAGAAATGTTAGTAAAATCGTAATTGAATATGATAACAAAGCTGGTTATTGGCTCCCCATGTAAACATTGAACATCTATTAGGGGGCGCTAATGGGCCGATTTCAAATATTTCACTTTCACCTGACCTAAACCCTGGAGTTGAACAATTGTATTACAGTTTTTGTGCAAATCAGACTTTGTTTGTGCAAAACTGGAGCAAAAATTAATGTAGTCAAAAACGGCCAAAATCACGTCACATTTTGCCGCTACCGCTGCTCGAACAATGTTTCACTGAATCAAAAATCCCTGAGGTCCATTTTGAAGGTACATGTGTTGAGATGATGTGGAGCGATTTTGAGGCGAATCGGGGAAACGGTCGAGGAGTAGTCATTCTTTCCAACCGACATGTATCGAAAACTTTTGCTGTTCATTTTTCCATTTTGCAGTGACATTTTATGAGCTTCCTGTTTTGTATGAGGGATTAAGCCATAATAACATTTTTCCATGTCCTTGACTTGAGGAACATGGTGTACCAAATTACATGGTTCTACGGCAATTTTGACCTTGAACCCTCCCATAGCGCATTTTAAAAATTGGGCTGTTGTAGGTGGCGCTATAGAGCCAATTTCAAAATTTGAACTTTACAATTGACCTAAGACCCAAGAGTTGAACCATGGATTCAAGTATTGTGCCAATCATCAACTTATTGTTTAGTGCAAACGGAAACAGTTGTTCTATTGTCAAAACTGAAAAAAAATACGCCACTTTTTGGCGCTCTGCTGCTCGACACAACGTTTCACCTGATCAAAAATTCCCTGAAGTACATTTTTATGTACATATTTAGAGATGATTGGACGATTTCTGAGGCGAATCGTGAAACGCCGAGGCTGGTTTTGAATGTTTGTGTGAGGTGTACATTTGCAATGAATGGGGAGCGTTTCTTCGTCGCACTGGCAACAGGGTAAAAAATAAGCCAAGGACCCAATTGCCTTTTTGAATCAAGAGGGCAACCCAAATTTATGTGCAAAATTTCAAACATTTTGAAAAAACTAAATTTGAAAATCCCATCTAAAACTTGAAATAGTCCCCTGTAGGGGGCGCTAATAGTGTCAATTTGAATTAAATTCACCTTCAAACGACCTAGACCCTAGAGTTTGAACAATGTAATAAAGTTTTGTGCAAAACAGACTTTGATTTGTGCAAACGGGAGCAAATTTAATGTTGTCAAAAACGTCCAAAAAAAGGTCACATTTTGCCGCTCCGCTGCTCAAACAATGATTCAACTGATCAAAAATCCCTGAGGTCATTTGAAGGTACAAGTGTTTTGAAGATGATGTGGAGCGATTTTGAGGCGAATCGGTGAAACGGCCGAGAGGATCGCTTTCCAACCGACATGTAATGAAAACTGATGCTGTTCATTTTTCCATTTTTGCAGTGAAATTTATGGGCTTCCTGTATTGTCAGAGGGCGGAGCCATAATAATATTTTTTTCTTGTCTTGACGTGAGGAACATGTGTACCAAATTTCATGTTTCTACGACAAACTTGACCTCCGAAAAGTCCCATAGGGGTATTATTTTGGCGTTGTAGGTGGCGCTGTTCTGTCATTTTTTGAGTCCCATAAAAATAAAACACCAAATATGTAAATTATTTCGCCAGGTCTGATTTTTGGGCCAAATTTAACAACTTTTCATGCATGTTCAGGGGTCAAATTAAGGCTCAAAGTGCAGAAGAAAAAAGAAAGAAAGAAAGAAATAAATAAATTAAAGCCGCAAAGCGGCGTCGAACGCCCTCGCCGCACCGCTGCGACTCCCAGCAGGCGCGCGCACTCCCCGTTCACACGCCGCCCCGCACCACGCCCCCTGCAAACCATGCCGTCCCTCACCACGCCGCCCCGCACCGCGCGCCCCGCACCAAACGCGCCGCTCCACAACGCCCCCACTAAACCGCCGCACCACACCGTACCACGCAGCACCGCAAAGGAGGTGGCACCGCCGTGTGATATTTTGTTCAGTCATAGAAGAATGTTAGTCAAATTGTAATGAATAAGATAAAAAGAGCTTTGTTTGGCTCCCCAGTAAACTTTGACACAGTCTGTCGAGGGGAATGGGCCAATTTTCCAATAATTTCACTTTAACCTGACCCTTAAACTCTGGAATTGAACAATGGATTAAGAGTTTTTGTGCAAATCAGCCTTGTTTGTGCAAACAGGAGATGTCAAAATAGAGCCCAAAAAACCTCACAGCGCTTAACAACGTTTGATTCAAAATTCCCCTGAAGTCATTTTGATGGTACATGTAGTTTGAGAGGATGTGGACGATTTGAGGCGAATCGAAACGGCCCGAGGCTGGTTTATGTTGAGTGTGAGGTGTACATTTGCAATGAAAGGGGAGCGTTTGTCGTCGCCACGGCAAACCAGGGTAAAAAATAAGCCTTGTACCCAATTGACTTTTTGAATCAAGAGGCCAACACAGATTATGTACAAAATTTCAAACATTTTGAAAAAACTAATTTTGAAAATGCCCATCTAAAATTTTGAAATAGTCGGTAGGGGGCGCTAATGTGTCAATTTAATTAATTTCACTTCAAACGACCTAGACCCTAGAGTTGAAGAAGGGGGGGAAAAAACAATGTATTAAAGTTTTGTGCAAATCAACTTTGTTGTGCAAACGGGAGCAAATTTAATTTGTCAAACGTCCAAAAAAAGGTCACATTTTCCGCTCCGCGCTCAACACAATGTTTCACTGAGCAAAAATCCCTGATGTCATTTTGAAGTACATGTGTTGAGATGATGTGGACGATTTGCAAGGCAAATCGGGTGAAACGGCCGAGGAGGAGTCGCTTTCGCCAACCGACATGTATGAGCCTTTTGCTGTTCATTTTTCCATATTGTAAGTGAACTTTATGGGCTTCCCTGTTTGTCAGGAGGCGGGGCCATAATAATATTTTTTTCTTGTCTTGACTTGAGGTGAAACATTTTTAACCGAATTTCTGACTCTACAACAAACTTGATCTTCAGAACTCCCATAGGGGTATTATTTTGCTGTTGTAGTGCGCTGTTCTGGCATTTTTTGAGTCCCATAAAAATAAACACCAAAATACAAATTTTTCGCCAGGTCTGATTTTTGGGCAAACATTTAACAACTTTTCATGCATGTTAAGGGTCCAAATTTAAGCTCAAAGTGCAGAAGAAAAAAGAAAGAAAGAAAAAAGAATAAATAAATTAAAGCCGCAAGCGGCGTCGAACGGCCCTCCCGCACCGCGCGGGACTCTGACTCGGTTCAGATGAGGAGCTATCTGCAAGAAATGGACATTTGCGGACATTAGGGCCGTTTCCACGGGCTGGAGTATTGATCTATGGTCCGACCGGGTCCGACCCGTCTTGACCCGGTTTGAGGATGCGGTCTGTTTTAGCTCGATGGTGCACCCGAGTGAGTGTAAATAGCTAAGTGTTAGCGAAGGTAGCACTAGGGACGAAGGAATGGTATCACGGACACCGTAGTGCAGATAAAAGTTAAGAAGCGTAAAAGTGACTACCGTGAAATGAAAAATCCCAGCCGTAAAAGCGGACAGAACTGAAAAGTCTGGAGGTGGTTTGACAAGATGGATTGACGCTATTGTTACGGATATCAGCTAACAAGCAAACATCAACTAACAAGCTAACACCAGCTAACACGTCAATACCCGCAACTCAGAAGCCTCAACTCTTTGTCGCAGCTCCAGATGTTGAGTTTGAGAGAAATGGTGAGTGTCTTCAATCAAATGCAAACATGTAGCGTTATGGTCTTATGTATGTTTGTTGCTGCAGTACATTGTGCATAGTTTTGCACCGGTCCAGACCGGACCAGAGAGGATTAATGATCCGAACCAAGCGTATCAGCCGAAAATCCACTGGAGGAATGCTAATGAAGCATTTAGCGTTTTACTTTGGACTGGAGCAGAGAAAATGGTCTAAACCAAGCGGCTACTCCACCTTTTGACCCATTCTACTCCACACAGCGGCTACTCCACCTCTGCTGCTGTGAGCTGTCCTGCTCCACCCAGAGGCTATTGCATATCTGAAGGGCTGTTGCTGATTATTACTATTTTTAACTTATTAGATTGATTAAAACATTTTTTTTTAATTATTGCTGCTGCTGGACAGCTGAATTTCTCCTATACGGGGATCAATAAAGTATCTATCTATTTAAATGATTTTTAATGTCGGTAGTCTTGAATCATCAATACTTTGCATTCCAAAAAGATCTGTGGTCTACATAATAATACATGAACTGAAAAGGAAATACTTGTATTACTTACTACCTGTATAGTAAGTACAAGTAGTAAGTAATACACCTGTATTACTAATATAAATAGTTAATTTGCAATAGACAGATAAGTGCCATTAATGTTTTTTTGAAAGGCTTACACATTGCCCTTTATCAGGTAGTTTTCTAAAAGCCGGATACACATACAAGTTTTACCCCTTCTTGAGCAAATTCTTTCAAATTCACGGACAATAACAAAACATGTTGAAGAGATTATTCACATGGGTGGGAATGTAATTTTAACTTAAGTTTTTTTTTCCTTTTTGAGTGTGAATCATGTACAATATTAAAATACGAAATTATTAATGGATGATATGTTGTATCATTATATGTAGTGACATTTGATATTAATGTTTGATTAAATAAACAAACACTCATTATGCAGATTTTTAATAAATGGTAAAAACAAAATAAAAATTCTGTTTTTGTAAATGACCTCTTCATATATTTTAGCCAACTTGAGACCATTCAAAAGACAGTATTAGGGATAAAAAAAAATCAGAAACTTGTTTTTACTCGTTGATTCAAACCTACCTGACGGAGTTAATACCGATGAAACGTCAAAACGTCACTTTGATAGAAGAGAGCTGGACTGCAGTGACACCAGAGACAATGGAAACACGCTCTGTGAGATTCAAATGAGATGAGCATGGAGCCACCCTAACAACTCACAACACGGTAAAAGGGGAGGATGCTGCTTGCACCTGCACCTGCACCTGCCTCGAGTCTTCCCTTTCTCCTCCCATCTATTGTGCTAAGATGAGATCCGCATGTATAACAACACCCTCTGCTGTTGGACTCTTGAACACTTCTTAACCTGTCCCCCCGCCCTTTATAAAGTCACTTTACTGCCCATCATACGTCACTTTACTTCACTGTACTGCTGTCACCTTACATTGTGTGCACCATGTGCACTTGTATATTGTAAATAGTAACTGTAACTCTATTTTAAATTTAAATTTATTCTTTAGAAGTGTTTTTTATTCTTATTTTTATTATCTCTTTTTGACTGTTGCACTGAGCCAAAGCAATTTCCAAGTCTGTGACCTCCCGTTACTTACGTTGGCAATAAAAATTATTCTGATTCTGATTCTTGGATCTCAGCTTTTAAGTGCGCTCGTCCTTATTTTGTGTCCATCCAGATCTTGCGTGGGTTTTGTATCTTTTGAGCGCAGCCAAAAACACTTTAATTATGTCAAATTAGGAAGAAAAAATGTACCTTGATATATTATCTATGTGGTGTGACAATATGAATTAAAGCCGCAAGCGGCGTCGAACGGCCCTCGCCGCACCGCGCGACTCCCCGCACCGCGCGACTCCCCGCACCGCGCGCACCCCCCCGTGCAAAGCCACCCCGCACCACGCCTTCCCGCACCACGCCGCAACGCACCAAGCCGCAACGCACAAAGCCGCAACGCACCAAGCTGCAACGCGCCGCTCCACAACGCCCCGCACTACGCCGCACCACACCGTACCACGCAGCACCGCTCAAAGGAGATGGCGCCGCCGTGTGATGATTTGTTCTCGTAGCCATAGAAGATTGTTAGTCAAATTGTAATGAATATGATAAGTAGAGCTGGTTTGGCTCCCCATGTAAACTTTGACTCAGTCTGTAGGGGGCGCTAATGGGCCAATTTAAAATATTTCACGTTCACCTGACCTAAACCCTGGAGTTGAACAATGGATTCAAGTTTGATGCAAATCAGACTTTGTATGTGCAAACGGGAAAAAAATTAATGTTGTCAAAAACGGCAGAAAAAAACTTTCCATTTTGCCGCTCCGCTGCTCAAACAACGTTTCACTGATCACAATTCCCTGAGGTCATTTTGAAGATAAATGTGTTGAGATAATTTGGAGCAATTTTGAGGCCAATCGGTGAAACGGTCGAGGAGGAGTCGCTTTCCAACCGACATGTATGAAAATGATTGGTTTTCATTTTTCCATTTTGCAATGAAATTTATGGGCTTCCTGTTTGTCAGAGGGCTTAGCCATAATAACATTTTTTCCATGTCTTGACTTGAGGAATATGTGTACCAAATTACATGGCTCTACGACAATTTTGACCTCAAACCCCTCCCATAGGCATTTTTAAATTGGCTGTTGTAGGTGGCGCTATAGAGCCAATGTCAAAATTTTTACATTCAAATGACCTAGACCCAAGAGTTGAACCATGGATTCAAGTTTTGTGCAAATCTGACTTTGTTTGTGCAAACGGAAGCAAATTTTCTATTGTCAAAAACTGAAAAAAAATACGCCACTTTTTGGCGCTCCGCTGCTCAAACAACGTTTCACTGATCAAAATTCCCTGAAGTCATTTTGATGGTACATGTGTTGAGATGATGTGGAGCGATTTTGAGGCGAATCGGTGAAACGGCCGAGGCTGGTTTGATGTTTGTGTGAGGTGTACATTTGCAATGAATGGGGAGCGTTTCTCGTCGCCACGGCAACAGGGTAAAAAATAAGCCTTGGACCCAATTGACTTTTTGAATCAAGAGGTCAAAACAGATTTTTGTGCAAAATTTCAAACATTTTGAAAAAACTAAATTTGAAAATGCCCATCTAAAATTTTGAAATAGTCTGTAGGGGGCGCTAATGTGTCAATTTGAATTAATTCACCTTCAAACGACCTAAACCCTGGAGTTGAACAATGGATTCAAGTTTAATGCAAATCAGACTTTGTTTGTGCAAACGGGAACAAAATTAATGTTGTCAAAAACGGCAGAAAAAACCCTCATATTTTGCCGCTCCGCTGCTCAAACAACGTTTCACTGATCAAAATTCCACAGTCTATTTATCATTATAATGATAAATAGACTGTAACATTTTTCCAAAGGCATGGTGTATAACACCCCGATACAGTAGGTGGCGGCATACGTAAATATTGATTCGTAGCCCGCCATTAAAATACAGAAGAAGAAGAACCGGTACTGCATTAGCTACACACATCTCATTTTGTCCCTATCAGGTAAGCAAGTACTGAACCTGGATTTTGAAATAGCTCAAACTGTTAGTTGTGCTTAATCTCTTATGTTTGTAGTCAAAGTTGTTGTGGCTACTAATCGTTACAAGCTGTTTGTACTACTGTTGTACTTTTGTTTGATGTAAACATGGCGGGCTAGGGGGCTGCTACGCTAGTTTTAGCATCGGTGTTCAGAGATGGCAAGTGACATAAAATGCAGGGAAATGCTTGTGTACCAATACAATGTCAGACTTACACCTGACCACCCGCTGCAAAAGTGTTTGAAACGTTATAGATGTTGAAGTTTGCTGTGTTTCCGCTAGCTTGGAGCTAACGTTGCTAACGGCTATTCCTCGCTAACGTCAGCTAAATGCCTTAGAAACAAGCATTAGCCCAGCTCTGTAGTTCGTTCAAGTGGTTTGAGGCGTGAAATATCATCTGCTATGGTCGTAGCGGCCATTTCTGTCGCAGCAGTGAGTCAGATAAAGCTAGGTAACAGAATTGGTGCGTGTTCCTCCGAGTCTCAGCAGGTCTGAGCTCTGCAGGCCTGATGAGGCTTTGTTTTCGTTCCCACTGTCAGGTCCGTTTCATTGTGTCCTGCGATCTACAACAAGTTGATAGCGTTGTTTTAGCGGACTTTCAGTGTTGTATTGTCTGTGTATGCAGTACATGTGTTCCATGTTTGTGTTCGTAATAGTTGTGTTCTTCTAATTACGTTTTCTTTGTTTCAGGCTTGCCTGATTTGAATAGGATTGTTGTGAAAGATCTTAGTATGAGTTCCTTAAAGTAGTACTAGAATATGCTGCTATCCAGAATATATAACTACAATATGTGTTTATAATATTTCGGGTGTTCATTTTGACATGTTCAGATGAATTGTCAAAATTCATCGCTGCCATTTTGGCCCCCCCTAGCGTTTCTATGCGGAAGTGAAAAGGTGCGACTTCAAAGACGTTTTTTTAACATAATTTCATCTGAACATGTCAAAATGAAGACCCGAAATATTATAAACACATTGTAGTTATATATTCTGGATAGCAGCATATTAAATTCTAGTATTACTTGTGCGTGTGTATTTTTCTGGCCTAAAATTTTTTCACGTTTCAAATCTGGTCTAAATAAAAAAAACAAGACCAAGTGATCAATAATTTTCATTGTGCTTGTTTTTATCCTTAAGGAGTCTGATGAGGCCTTGTGACATGCTGCTTGGGATCATCGTGGAGTCTCATCCTGCCTCACTCATAAATCCTGCTTCTTTGAAAATTGTCTTTGACGGGGAAGTAGTTGTTAGAGACCTGACACTTAAATACTGCGTTGGTCATTTTATAATCTACCCCCTGTATCTCAACTACCCCTAAGTAAGTAAGTAAGTAATCTTTATTTATATATTGTCTTTCACAGACCAGAGTCACAAAGCGGTTTACAATTGTTATTTTTGGGCTCTTGTCTCTCACTCCACACAGAGATGGGAGCGGGGTCGCCGAACAGGAGGCGCATGCCAGACCTATTGTACATATTTTTAGTGGTACGGGAAACCGGAGTAACCGGAGGAAACCTACGCAGACACGGGGAGAACATGCAAACTCCACTCAGAAAGGCCCTGGTCCGACCAGGATTCAGTGCATTAGGTATTTTTTATTTATCTTTTTTCTTTCTTCAAGTCCTCCTAATGTTGGGTGCTGATGACCTCAAATCGATTCTGCAATTTTGCTCTGGAAAGCCTATTTGTAATCTGTTGGTCACAACTTGTAAGCAGAAGTATCTTTAATTTTTTGAATTTGAAAAATTTACTGTTTTTGTTTTCTGTTCTGTCTTTTCACAAAGCTTCCTGAACCTACAGTGACTTAATTAAGTTAAGCAAGAATTGTTTTAATTGTTTATTTTGTGTTCAGATGTAGGCTACAATGATGTTGCTGTCAACGTTGTGGACAACGCTCCTGTAAACGTTAATGCTGCTGCTAGATAATGGGAAACTTGGATCAGAGGCATAGTTTATGTAATCTGAACGCCTGCACACGCTGTGAGCCTTCAGTGTTTGCAGTCATTGTCAAGGTAGGTTTGCTCTTCTGATCAGATATTGTGCTTTTAAATTGGTATTAAATGTTTAGCATACATTGTTGAACACTTCCCAAAATCATCACCAACATTTCTAATAGTTTCTATTCCAGAAAGTTTCTGGGATAACACACACACACTTTTTTTTAAATACATTTCTAGGCTCCATGGTTTAGCCTATATTGTTCACAAGCATAGTAATGTTTAAGTGAAATGTATTTGTGTTTGTTCTATTTTAGATGCACTGACTCAACAATTTGAGTTGAGAAATACCTAATGTAATTGCACAAGCTGTGCAGGAGTGTGATTCTACAATTCAAACATGGCCATCAGGGGAGGGTGCCTCCGTCATCTTCTGTAGATAGGTTTGATGGATAGCTGCCTCATAGTTTGCTCTCTGGTAGTGTTATTTGAGAGTATCTTTTGTTGTTGGCAGGTTAAGCTCAGATGGTGTCTTGGTGCTGAATATCCTTTATTGTTCTTATATTTACCACATTCATGATGTCAGGGTGGCGGCGCCAATAACAAACTTGGGACAGGACGTACCCTGGCGGTGCAGTCTGTTGTGCTCATACACGGAGATATAGTAGCAGAAGTAGCGCTGGCAACATGCCATCTTGTTTGCGGTGTACATTTGCGTAAATAGAGAGAAAGACGAGAGTTTCTTCTGTGTTTCAACTCTGGTCTCATATAGGAGTGCACTTTGAAAATATCATTCGAATGAGGTGGGTGGTGGATCCAGGCTTTCTAAGATAAGCGCCTTCTGCAGGCCACCCATATGAAACGCAGCAATTTATTTGGGTTTTTCCCAAAAATGCCTGAAATCAAGACTCTTAAGACATATTTTTTAGTTCTCCCTTAGAATTGAGTGTCCCCCTCTCAAATAAGACTGTTACAACAACTGACACTGCACTAGATGATAGCATTTTGACTTTAAAACAGACACGATTTACATGGTTTTCAATAGGAGCAAAACGGAGTTATTACACCTCTGCTTATTCTACCCTACAGATCAGTTTAATGAAACCCAAGTATAGGCGTGAGTTGTTGCAAGATTGTGGAATCATTGTAGATATTACAGTAGTTTCAAGTAATTTATTGATTTGGCACTTTTCACAGACCAGAGTTTCACATAATATAGTGTTTGGTGTATTTATTGTTTTACTCCACACACAGATGAGAGGATGTCCTTACATCTTGTGCCACCACATCTGATGATCACTCATTAAACACGTGTAAAACGGTTGTATGTTTATTTCAGTAAACCAGAGCAGCATGAAGAGTCCATCCATATATTGTAAGTAACTGCTTAAATGTTGTTTTTCTTTGGACAACTTTTACAGCATTGTCAGCTGGGGTTAGATTTAGGTTTTTATATTTTTTCTAAATATGAGTAACAAAGTTAAGTGTGCTCAAAAAATGACTAATCTTCTTTGTATTCTCAGTGATAGTCAATTTTGATATCTTCAAATCTCCACACATGAAGTATCTTGTCATATTTGATTTATGTGTGGATATTCTCTAATTATTATCTTAATTCCATAAGGCTATAACTTAAAAGTAATAAGAGTTAGAGGCTTTCTGTAAATTAGAAAATATTAAGAATGGTCCAAAGTGTATGTAGAGAATAAATGTCCCCATCTAATTTGCATATTTTGACGTCATTTGGCGTTAGAAATTGTGGATTTTATACAAATCATGATGCTGCTGTGAGTAGTCTACCCAGAGGCGCGCCTCAGGTGAAGCGTGCGCCTGACTGTTATCTATCTATAATACATGGCAAAGGCTTCTCCAACATTCCTGTCCCTGTGATTACAGGAGGCACAAAAATACATCTATGGGAGGCACTTTTAGCAGAAGCTGGAGGTCGCGACACAATGCCCCAACGCAATTTCCAAACTTGTTCTCTGTAAATCTAACCTGTCTTCGAACCTCCCAATGACAGCACTTTCTCTGAGAGACAGTGCCTGCCCCTGCAGGAAATTTGAGAATAACACACAGAGAAGGTGAGGTATTCCTAACTCTCTTCTTCCATCTCTTGGTTTGTGAGTTTAACCAAATTTACTGCTTTTGAGTTTGTACTAAACATGTTTGTGCAATTTCAGTGATATGGCAGAAGGGAAGATGTTCAGGGTAGGAGGAACCATGAGTTGGAAAGGAAATCTCATTGGAATCATTGGAACTTCTAATGCAACGCTCTCATCCTGGGGACAAGTACAAATGAATTCAAGACATTTTAGAATGTTGTTGTTGAGTGTAAGTTGTACAGGAGATTATTAATATACAAAAAAATTTCTTTCTAAATCACTCAAGTCAGTAAGTCTTGTGAGATTGAAAATAAAGATAAACAAAGTTAATTTGTAAGTCAATACTTTTTGATCTAAATGTAAAACAATTAGTTTCTTTTCATGTATTTTAAAGTTGTTTTTGTTGGTAGTATTGTACATAATAAATATGGATATGATGCATGTTGTTGGTGAGTATTCAGTGTTATTTTGTATATTAGATCACTGATCCTATTATTATAATAAGTCTTGTTGTCTTCCTTGTTCTCCACACATTCACTATACTGTTGTCTCCTTGCTGAATATCTCTGGTCAGCATGGTCCAGACTTGATGTGTGCATGGGGTCATCATAACAGCAGTCTACGCAAGTTTACATTTTTTGATTAGGAATCTTTTGACATAAGATGGAGCTGAGCAAAGGTTGTTTGGAATGGTTGTACTATACAACTTCGAAAATGAAGGTGTGTGTGTGTATATAAGTCTCTGATGTTGTGAAAAAGGGGAAATTCTTTGGAACCTTACTGTCCAGATTAGACACATCTTCACTGCATGTGGAAATATCTGCTGTACATCTGCAGGAGAAAAGCCATTATCTTCAACTGTTGCCATTTGGACTTCATGAGGCTATTCCCCATTTGAGTTTGTATTTGTTTTGAATTGTTATTGGCTGAAGCATTGGTTCCAAAATATAATGATATGACAGTTTGACAAATACACTGCTCTCAAATTACAAACTTTAGAAAATGTTGGAGCCACTTTAGTATTACTATGTTGCCTAGCTTTATTGGTTTATGTGAATATAATGATGCATAATCCGTGTCATTGCTGTGTCAATTACCCCCAGCTTTCTTTTGAAAATCATATGTCACATCTGCAAAACTTCCTTCTTCCACCTACGTAACATTTCTAAACTACGCTCTTCTCTGTCCTGGCTGCAGAGAAGCTTGTCCATGCCTTTGTCTCTTCTAGGTTGGACTACTGCAACTCTACTCATCCCTGGCAGGAGCATTCAAAAGCTCTAGTATGTCCAATACAGTGCTGCCTTTCGTGGATACTGCTCTCCTATGGAATGTTCTCGTGGACCACCTGAGGGCCCCGCAGATGGTGGAAGCTTTTATAAAGGGACTCAAAACCCATCTTTTTATTGAGGCGTACATCTAATTTCTTAGTCTCTTTATTTGATTTTATATGTGTTTGCTTTTATGTATTCTGTTGACTTTGTATCGCTTAGATTTGGTGTCAAATGTAAAGTGCATTATAAATAAAATGTATTAAGTGGGCCATGTTAGAGGTGCATCTGGTTCTGGATGTGATAAACTAGGATTTTATACTTACAATGATGGCTATGTGTCCACTATTTTGGTAATGCATACATTTGAAAAAGTCTTGTTTGCATCATGGGGATACAGATAGTAGATTGTATTTGAACTTTGAACATTGTCAAGCGCTTTGGGTGGTCTTGTGTAAACACTGGCTATTTAAATAAACATTACTTACATTATAATGAGTACTTATTGATTGTTATTGTCATAGAAAAATAAGTGACTTTATATGACAGGTTTTGTATCCATGTTTTTTGTGTAGTTACAATGTTATTTACAAATCTGTGATTTGATCCAAAGTTAAATCACTAGACTATGTCAGATTGCAATGCAAATCAGCATCGTTACATGGTAGTGAATATATTTACATAACATACAGCATGCATCGGTTAAATGCTTATTATCTGATCCGTGGGTTTTGAGCGGTTCCGGCATGCGTGCAACGGTCCTGCCATGGACTTATAGTGAATAATTTCCCGTTGCGGACCCGTGGCTGATGCAAGTGAACTCCATTGCGGCCTTGCTGCGTGCATCCGTGGCGAATATCAGTATGTTGTTGGGATGGTTTGGCATAGTGTTTTTATAACAGATGCTTTTGGTAGACTATTAAGTCGGTCCAGCTATTACTTCCTATTCATTGTGTGTAGTATGAATTAAGATTATTTTTAAATGAATGTTTAATACGATTTTATCTGTCATATATGTATAATAGATACATTTATGTCTTAAGAATGAATTTAAAACCATTTAATTCACACAAATAGACTTTATTAACCTAAAACTAAAACAATGAATAATAATACAAACGATGAACATAAAGCTATACTATATAAAAAACGAAACCAATGCACTTGGCTTTAATGTTGCTTTCTTTTTTTCCTCCCATGTGTTTCTGTCGTTTCCAAAAAAGCGTCTGTCGATGGCGTCTCTTTTGTTGTTTCGTGGTCGACTGATGGCGGCGTCTCTTCTGTTGTTTCATTGCTGACCGATGGCGATGGCGTCTCTTTTGTTTTTTCTTTGTCTGCTGCTTCCTCCGGGTTAGCTTTTGTGTTCGGGAGTATGTAATATAAAAAGTCATATATAATGCAACACTATAAATTAGAATTATGTTTATTAATATGAATTGTTTCTTTAATCGCTGTTATAATTCTGTAAAAAGTATTGCATTTACCGTCAAATACTCCCTCGTACTCGTCGAGTAGAGATGATAGTCGTTGGTTTTCTTGCCTCCATTTCCCTTGTTCTGCTTGTAGATGTTTAATTTGGGCTTCATAAGCCTTCGTTTTTGTTAATACAGAGGTCCCAAGTGCGTGTATGTTTTGCGCTAACTGAGAGCGTGGAAAGGATTGATCCTGTGCCTGGTACTTCACAAGAAAAGCAATATTAGTTTTTAATGAATAATTCATAGACTTGTCAATAAGATGATGTAATTTAAAGTCTTACAGCCAGTAGTTGTAGTCTATCCCGAAGGTCACGTCCTTTGTCCGTGTACATGAAGGGTAGTTTGCTTGGTGATGTCTCCATTGTCGTTTTTGAGATAGACTGGCACTTAATGGTCATTCTTTGCGCTTTATGTGTTCTATATGTTGTCTCCACCCCTAATCTTTAGGAGAGGAATAGTATTGGAAGAGAGGCTATTGCTACCTGTCTCCCTATCTTTACGCGATCGTAGTTGGCTGGATTCAATAGCGACGCTGGCCTATCGAGTGATTGTATAGCTATAAATATTAACCCTTCATTGACTCGTTAAAATCGTTAATAGGGGCTCAAACTATATTGTTTACTGTGTGTATTGTGTTCTATCATTCTTTGCCAAATAATTTTGTGTGTATTATAAGCAGTTTATTCCCAGACAGCAAGGTGACATTGAACATATATTGATTTTACAACAAAACCATCAGTATGGTTGACATTGAAATCTAAACACTAAAAATTTTGAATCACCATTGCAATACTCATGAAAACCTAGCAAATGTAATGTTGGAACAATGTTGATCTATAGTTAACGCTAGTGTACAGACCCCGTCGCACCCCTCCCCCGTACCCCCACCCCACCCCCACCCCCACACACTATTTATTTTTACCCTTTCATGCAAAAAAAATAAAACTGGTTTATTCATGATAAAATGACAACAAAAGAAATTGTGAATCTGTATAATTGATTGGACATTGATTTTTGTTTATAACACAGATGTTGAAAAAAACATTGAAAAGTCATCGTAGTTGACCACCGATGTGGTAAAGCAGCGGTACTGCACTACACACCTTATTATTGTCCCTATCAGGTAAGCAAGTACAGAACCAGGATTTTGAAAAAGCTGAATGTTACATGTGTATGTTATGAGGACCCATGTTGACAGGTTTTGTACCTGGGGGGACGAATTAAGGTGTGACACTAACCCTGGGATGCCGGGCTGTTAATAGTGCACTGGAGTTCATAAAGTTTACAGTAAGCCACTATACTGCTTTAACCGTCCATTCTGTATAGGACCAGGGCAGAATGAAACACTGAAACTGTTTAGTTGTGCTTAATCTCTTATGTTTGTAGTCAAAGTTGTTGTGGCTACTAATCGTTACAAGCTGTTTGTACTACTGTTGTACTTTTGTTTGATGTAAACATGGCGGGCTAGGGGGCTGCTACGCTAGTTTTAGCATCGGTGGTCAGAGATGGCAAGTGACATAAAATGCAGGGAAATGCTTGTGTACCAATACAATGTCAGACTTACACCTGACCACCCGCTGCAAAAGTGTTTGAAACGTTATAGATGTTGAAGTTTGCTGTGTTTCCGCTAGCTTGGAGCTAACGTTGCTAACGGCTATTCCTCGCTAACGTCAGCTAAATGCCTTAGAAACAAGCATTAGCCCAGCTCTGTAGTTCGTTCAAGTGGTTTGAGGCGTGAAATATCATCTGCTATGGTCGTAGCGGCCATTTCTGTCGCAGCAGTGAGTCAGATAAAGCTAGGTAACAGAATTGGTGCGTGTTCCTCCGAGTCTCAGCAGGTCTGTGCTCTGCAGGCCTGATGAGGCTTTGTTTTCGTTCCCACTGTCAGGTCCGTGTCATTGTGTCCTGCGATCTATAGTTGATCTCAAGTTGATTGCGTTTTTATAGCGGACTTTAAGTGTTGTAATGTCTGTGTATACAGTATATGTGTTCCATTTGTGTGTTCCTAATAGTTGTGTTCTTCTAATTACGTTTTCTTTGTTTCAGGCTTGCCTGATTTGAATAGGATTGTTGTGAAAGATCTTAGGAGTTCAAGCAACTTCAGCGTGTGTATTTTTCTGGACTGAAATTTGATCACGTTTCAATTCTGCTCCCAGTAAAAAAACAAAACCAAGTGATTAATAATTCTCATTGTGCTTTTTTTTATCCTTAAGGAGTCTGATGAGGCCTTGTGACATGCTGCTTGGGATCATCGTGGAGTCTCATCCTGCCTCACTCACAAATCCTGCTTCTTTTGAAAATTGTCATTAACGGGGAAGTAGTTTTTAAAGACCTGACACTTAAATACTGCGTTGGTCCTAATCTACAGTCTGTATCTCAACTACTCCATAGTGCATGAGGTACTCTTTATTTATTTATTTATTTATTTTTTTTATTTTTTCTCCCAACAGATCTTACTGATGTTGGGTGCTGATGACGTCAAATTGAAGCTGCAATCTTGCTCTGGAAAGCCTGTTAGTCACAACTTCTAAGCAAAAGTAGGTTTAATTTTTAGTACACTAATAGAGTGGTTTCTTTAATGTATCCTCTTGACAACTCTCTGATTCAGAGGATATGCTGATTAGTTATAAACAGCATGGCAAAAATCAAATTATTAAAATAGATTACGTAAAGTATGGCTAAACACTCAAATCTCTTTATTGTTAAATGTTTTAAAATGTATCTTCTTTGACAAAAACAATAAAAAAATGTTTTTTTTATTTATATGAAATTGGCTTGTTGCATAATGTGGCTGTGCTAGTTCCTCTAACCTGAGACTGAGAGTGAATTGTTCCTGTTTTGTTTTTTCTGCACTACAGACAGAGCTTTCTGAACCTACAGTGACTTAATTAAGTTAAGCAAGAATTGTTTTAATTGTTTATTTTGTGTTCAGATGTAGGCTACAATGATGTTGCTGTCAACGTTGTGGACAACGCTCCTGTAAACGTTAATGCTGCTGCTAGATAATGGGAAACTTGGATCAGAGGCATAGTTTATGTAATCTGAACGCCTGCACACGCTGTGAGCCTTCAGTGTTTGCAGTCATTGTCAAGGTAGGTTTGCTCTTCTGATCAGATATTGTGCTTTTAAATTGGTATTAAATGTTTAGCATACATTGTTGAACACTTCCCAAAATCATCACCAACATTTCTAATAGTTTCTATTCCAGAAAGTTTCTGGGATAACACACACACACACTTTTTTTTAAATACATTTCTAGGCTCCATGGTGTAGCCTATATTGTTCACAGGCATAGTAATGTTTAACTGAAATGTACTTTTTTTGTTTCTGTTTTAGATGAACTCACTCAACGACTGAGTATGGGAAATACCTATGCATTGGCACAAGCTGTGCAGGAGTGAGATCTTTATTCACTTCCAGAATGACTTACATTGGATCAGTACAACAGATTGCTCCCCTTACAACATATTACCACACTAACAATTAATTACTAAAGACAGAATAACAATGATGTCTGAACACATACACCAGGTTAGTACATTTGTAGGTTTTAGATAAGGCATGCATGATTCATGCTTACATTTGGAAACAGTGGTCTGTCAATAAATCACCTTCTATAAACTGTTCTATAAACTGAATTCTGAGTGGGCTGGTTTTAAATACAAAGTCAAGCGATATCTTAAAACAATCCAGTTGCGTGAGCATCAATGAGTTGGAGAACATCTGCTTTTGTGTAATGTGAATTTTATAATGTAAATTGTGTTTAATTGTGTTAAAAGCCCTTTTAGGGACGGACATTGCAAATTAGCCCTGGCTATAAATGTTGTAGTGTTTCACATGTTGATAGTGTACACTTAATCAAATAAATCAATAAATGAAATAAAGCAATAAGGAGGCCATCCTTTCTACGATCACAATGGTGGTTATGAAGGCCACACAGGAGCTTCGGCAACATGTGGAAAAAGGTTTTTTTTTGCTTTATTATTTGTTGAGGTATTACTTGAGGCTCGTATTCAGGACAGTAGCAAGAGCACACACAATATACAATATAAGTAGTTGCTGTCATAGCTTGCTGTAAATGCTTCAATCTATATTTGTAAAGGTATACACACATAGGGCAGGATAATAAGTAGATTGGAACACTTGTTTTCACATTGTGTTATTATATCTGATGTACAATTGCATTAACTGTAATTATCATATTTTCTTAGATCAACACTCTACAAGGCACACAGGGGTGAGTTGCCAGTGCCATCAACACTTGATCCTTCAGCGCTACTTTTGTTTCTGTTCATGATTTAGTGTTTGACTTGTGTGTGTCATTTTTGAAATACAAATTACATTTTACAAATCAATTTCTGTTCTGCTTGGTACCAAATCTGCATAGACTGGTTTATTGGGCACAACACCCACAAATTGCACTTTGCTACAATTAGAATAAAGACAGAGTATTTACTAATTATCTATTTAATTAAGGACATTATGGTGTATTTCTGCACAGCCCAATAGCATAAGTAAAAGGACAACATAGTTTAGTTAGAAGTCTTAATGCATTTATTTGCTAAGTCAAGGGTTTAGAGAAGTGGATACAACATGTATCTAAGTATTATGGAAAGGGACAAGGCTACAAAAACAACTTGGCTTTCTCCAAACATATACATAGCCCTAAATCACAACACAGATCAGAAAATCAAACACACTACATGAAATGATAGAAAAACATTTGTATTGGTCCATAGGGGCCGATGATGATTATGGAAAGGGACTGGCCCAGGCTTTCACTAAAGGTCCGTTCTCGTAGTTTACAAGCAGACAGGCAACAACATAAAGCTGATTAATATTTCCAGTTGAAGACGAGGGGAGCACTGTCCTGAACAATTTGTGTTCCTTCACCCTTCTGATGACACGCTCCACGTGACCTCTAAGCCTGGCAATGGACTGAGTCTTCCTTACTGCGGCTCCAGACAGCTGTTTGTTTCTTCAGGAAGGCGGGTATGTGGACTTTGCAGGGGACCAGGTCTTCCACAAGGAAACCCTTGTCCACCATAATGGCCATGGAGGGCTTCAGCAGAGCTACAAGGCCTGACTGCTTGAGAATTTCCCGGTCACTGACACAGCCTTCATAAAGTGGAGAGATGAATGTGATTGCGCCATGAGGAGCCATTCCAATCAGTCCCTTATAAGTGCAGTGCGATTTGTAGCTGGAGTACAGCTCACTTTGCAGAAAGAGGGAGTCAGGTGTTTGACAGCGCAGCTCTGTGCAGTCCAAGATGACTTGTGTGTCACTGTACTCTGAGAAAACCTCTGGCATATAATGTTGTACGGCCTCCTCATCCAGCCAAATACCAATAGCTCCCAACACTTGATATAAAAAATTGGCCCAAGTGGTGATGATGCGGCTCACAGTGGACTGGTGAATAAAAAATCTATTAGCCAGATCCTTCTGCACCAGAGCCAAAGCTAGATAATTCATAAAAAGAAAAAACTCATCAATGGGTTGAAGCGAGGTTGGAAAAGCATGGCGAACATCTTGTCCAGACGTTTCTGCCTGACTGCTGGTCACGCGCACCATGTAAGGCAAGGCTGGTTCTATCTGGCTCCAGAAAGACATCAGGTGGGCATAACTTGAAAACCTGAGCAAGGGGCACAAGATCCTCAGTTAGTAACATCTCATTTATATGGAAAAAAGGCCATAAACCAGTAGAACTGCAGCTATCAAATATTTTTGTAATTGAGAATTCAATCAAATAAATCATATCTTTGCTTAAATAAAACTTCATCATAAATATACAATATCAAATGACAACACATTTCTTGCACTATATACAGTATTTTACCATACATTCACCATACAGTATTCTATACTTGCTGTTTTACAATGCTAATAATTATGACATTTTGGATTATTCAAAGCTTTCTAGCTTACCTCGTGTACAACCTGATGTCTTCATCGGAGCCAGCAAAGCGTTGCAGACCGAACCTGCAACTGATGGTCATTTCTTCGACCCTTCTCTGGAGCGCCTCTACTTGAGCCTGGGACTCCGCTGCTTTGCTACTATGGGCTAAATCCAGAGCAGCTGGTTCAGAAGTGGTGGATCGTCTTCAGGGTCTAAACGGGGAGGATTTGGCCGCTCCGTTCGCTCCCAAACACCGGGTCGTGGAGCAGAGAGGCTATACCCGTTCCAGTCAAAAAGCAGCGGGACAGCACCTTTCCTCAACATACGACGTCCTTGTGGGCTGTGGGCTGGATCATATCTTCAGCCTCAAAGTGGCGAGAACAGACCCGTGTGTTTGACGTAACCTTAAACTGGTCCCTTCTTATTTTCACGATCCACTTTTTTCGCAGTAAAGCATCTCCAGGGAATGTGAAAAAACTTAAAGCAGAGTTAAATCTGGCCGAATTTGAGCATCGTGGAACACAGCAGTGATAACCAGACGTACTGTCCTGTCTCCGTTGAAAAGTAAACGTTGAAACTTTCGACGTCATCTCACACTAAAAACACGATACAACAAAAATAGTCTCTGTAATCAGTAGTAGTAGACCGGGTATGACGCGGCACCGGAAGTAACATCTCATCTGACGCAGAACCCGGAAGTGATGCGTGCATATAGCCCATAGCTTTGCGTGATTGGTCTCTTTACTGATGGTGGTGTCTTATTGGCTAATGATCTGATATAGACGGCATGCGATCCGTGTTCTTTGCAGTTTTATCGTTTCGGTAACAACTGCACCCTCTCTGTCTCTGTAAAATTATTTAATTTTACAAGACGCTACTTTTTGGACTCATTGGTTTGGAATAGTTGTTTTTTCAGCTATTTGATCTGTGTGTGTCCATTTTCCGTATCTACAATAACTAAACTACTTAAAAAAAAAAAAAAAAAAAAATCAACAAGAACACGGCGTTTTGGCTGAAAGGTAAGGGCTGTACTGATTTTCTATTGTGAGAAAATGGTTGTTGCAGTGTAATTTACAAGTTTACAGGGTACATTAATCCATAATTTCAGTACTGAGTGATTGTTTGGGTGACGATAGCCTAACCTGTTAGTTGCTGTGATTTAAGATGGCGCCATATTCAAATGAATGGCTTGTGTTCGTAGCGCATGGTACATTCAGAGAGACTGCGTATAGTTGAACTCGCCCATATTTGGGCATCTGGGCGTCTGGTCCTCTTGGGTCTGTGCAGTGGACGTGTTGCAATGATGCGTTTTGCCAAATACGTGTGTCCATAGGCTT